TCCCTCTCTTCCTTTTCTCCCTTCCTATCCTACCCCTCTCCCTCTCTTCCTTTTCTCCCTTCCTCCCTTCCTTCCCTCCCTTCCCTCCTGCCTGCTTTCCTCATTCCCTTCCTCTCCCTCCGTCCCTTCCCCCTCCCTCCCCCGATCCATCACCAACCTCACATATCCAATAAAGATAATCCTATATATTAAGGAAAGAAGGGAAACCCGCAGACGGGCTCGCGTCTTGAGGCTTATCATAACGCGAATCGACCCGCGAGGCCCTCACCGATCCTCCCCCTCTGAAGTCTCCCGGGTGACTGGTGGAAACGGGAACAATAACGTTAATTTAAGTTCGCTAATAACCCCCCGTAGATAAGTCCAGAGAGAGAGAGAAAGGGAGGGAGGGAGAGAGGGAGAGGGAGAGGGAGAGAAGAGGAAGAGAGGGGAAAGGAGAGAGAAATTAGTTAATATCTTCTTGGACATGATTTTATCATGTTGCTTTCGAGATAAAGAGAGATAGACAAGGAGATTGATGAGTAGGTAGATAGGTAGTTATATATATATTTATGTATATATGTATATGTGTGTATATATATATATATATATATATATATATATATATATATATATATATATATATATATATATGTATGTATATATATGTATATATATGTAGTATATTTATTTATTTATCTATGTATATATTTATGTATGTATGCTGTATATATGTATGTATAAATGTAAATGTGTTTATACTTTATGTATATGTAGGTAAATAATTAGAGAAAGGGATATATAGATAGCTAGGTAGATAGGTAATTAGATACATAGACTGATAGATGTAGACATGTCTGTGATTGTTTTTAATTTATATTTTCTTGCAATTGGTGAATTATCTTCATTTTAATCAGCATCATCAATTTCCATCGAATGGTCCACCCTCACTTAATTTTCCTCCCTACCTCTTGGACTCCTCCTCCCCCCCCCCCCCCCCGCCTTCCACCGACCCCGTACAGGAGAGACACTCGGATTTTTTTCCCCTCCGCCCAACGCAGCCCCGGCCGTTTCCCGGTATTTCTGACTGCAGTCCCGGTTCATCTTCGTATTACAGAGAAAATCTTGGTCCGGGAATCAGCGGCAGGGGAGGGCGGCGAGAGGTGTGTGTGCGTGTGTGTGTGTGTG